ATAGAAGTTGATCAACTTACAATTAGAGAAAGAATAAATTCAGATAACTCACATCGACAACTAGTAACAGCCAGCACAAAATAATCCTCATATGTAAAAATATGCGTGAAGATAGGAGCGATGTTGCGGCTTTCCGCCTTCCATTTCCTAGATCCTAGATAATGGAAACAATCTAATGGTAAAAAAAAAATGTAAATAGAAACTCTCAATGAATTAATTTAACGAATTTCCTGAGTAAAAAACCAGATTTTAATTTGTCATAAAATACTCTCCGAACAACAACATGTAACAGTGTAACATTAAGAAACCTGAAATTCATTAAGATTAAACTATCGTATATAATTTAAAATATAATTCCAGATCAACGTTCTCGTCCGAACAAAATTCCAGTTGCTCGCGCATGGAATTTAATCTCTTTCGAGTAACCTTAAATTAATAGAACTATGCGATTCTACAAAATGATTCGCAATTGCACCATTCTGCGCACAATAAATTAAATAACCGTGAAACTGAAACTAAAACCAGTTTGTCTGCTATGATATGTATAGGTCACGTACGAAAATTCATTTCTAGCTACCAAGAAATTTCAAATAAATTAAAAGCGCGTACTTAAAAGCCTAACTGTACTCAAATTTAAGTAATCACGTCGGGTTACACGGATGATCGATTTGCGAGCTACGTTTGCCTCGGGAATTTCGACGACTCCGGTCGGACATTAATACGCAAAGCTAAAACGCGTTAATTTTTATATAATTATTATATTATACAAAATATATTATGACTGTATCACTCGAAAGTTTATGTAATTTTCAGCGATACGAGAATTCATTTCGACACATTTACAATTTTCATAACGCGCGCTGCGAAAGAATCTCGCGGTATTTTTTTAAGTTTAATTAAGAATCCGACCAATTCTTTTTAGATTAGACCGGTTGCTCCTGGCTCCCTGAATACTCCGGTTTTGAATCAGGCTCACGAATTTGTAATGGAAAACGGCGAACACGGTGCGGGAAATACAAACAGATAATAAACTTTGTTAACGGGTCAACAACGCTTACGTACAACTACGCTCCAATCGATCGCGATTGGTTTTGGTAAAAAAAACTCCACTCCATTTGCTTCACGCAACAACTCACGGAACTTGTAACAACGCGCGCAAGTATACAGAGGAGGTTCCTATACTCGCGCAAAGGTATCAACACGGCGGCGTCCGTGTCCAATCGTTTCTGCAGTCTACACGTTCCTCGTACGTAGGCTTGTGCTACGATACTACGACTAGAACCGAATTGCAATCATTGAGTCAGTCGGTGTCGTTCACGGAGGAGCGCGCGACGACGGGAAGTGTCGTCGACGACGACGACGACGACAACGACGACGACGGCGGCGGCGGCGGCGGTGGAGGCGGGGCTACAAACTCGTCTTCCTCAGCTCCCTCCTCGGCGAGGAGAAAGTTCTCGTGCACCTCTTCCTCTCGCGCTGGCTCCGGTAACGCCAGCACGTCCTGGCCGTGCTGCTTCAGATGGTCCTTGAGGGCGAACGCCCGGCCGTACGACGCGCCGCACACGTAGCAGCTGAACTTGAGATTATTGTCCTTCTTGTGGGTCTGGATGTGCGAGCGGACCGCGTAGAGAGACGCGAACGGCCGCGAGCACTCGGTGCACCGGAACGGCTTCGTGTGGCTGTTCTTATGACCGGCCAGCTGCACCCGCGTCTTGAACGTCTTCGGGCAGTACGGGCACGTGTAGGCGCGCTCCTCGCCGTGCGTCAGCAGATGATGATTGTAAACGGAGGACGCCTTGAAGCGCTTGCCGCAATGCTGACAGGCGTACGGCCGCACGCCCGTGTGCGTACGCATGTGAAGAGTCAGGCAGTAGGAGACGCGAAAGGTCTTGCCGCAAACCTGCCGACAGAGATAAAAGTTGCAATGAAGAGCATCCACGTGAGACCGCAGCACATTGGAAGCACTTTGGCCTGCCAAGGGCTGCGTTGCAACGAAAGAGGATGCAACGCAGCACTAGACTATCAAACTCAAATGACTGGTATTTGTAATTTTCTTTTCGTTATTCAAATTTGCCACGGATCTTGTAAGATTTCCCGTGGCTCTTGTTGCAATGTAAATAATTAAATAGATTTTTATTTCCCCCTTTATCCCTTCTTTCAAAAGGTACATAGTAAAACTAGCTCTTAAAAAGATTGTCAGCTGCGCATTTGTGTGGTCACTTCATTGACCTTAGCAAAACTCGACCACACAACTTGTCCGCCTACCTCGCAGGCGTGCGGCTTCTCCCCCGTGTGAATTCGTTCGTGTTTGACCTTCTCGTGCGGCCTGGTAAACCTGCGTCCGCAATGCTGGCACTGATAGGGCTTCTGGCTGTCCCCTGGATCTGCCGTTGTCACCGCTGTAGTCGTTGTCGTAGTCGCCGTTGTTAGCGCCGTTGTCGAGGTCACTGCGATCGAGGCCGTCGAAGTCGGCCTCACCGTCGGCATCGCTGCTGGCGTCGTCGTCGCCTCCGCGACGGACGAGGCCAAAGTCAGCGGAATAGGCGACTGCGGAGGCGCCAGTTCGACGTGCACCGCCGCGTGCATCGCCAGGCTGTCCGCGGAATCGAACTTCCGGTTGCATACGGTGCACGTCACCGAGTCTCCCGTGTGCAGCGTCATGTGCGCGTCCTTGTACGACTCGGATAGCGTTTTGCCTGCGGAGCATTAATTCACGTTAAGAAAAGAGAGATAAAGCGATGGTCTTGATAGTCTGTTATTATCTCACAAGAGCGCATTTGTCAATTGTCCATCGTATCGTTGCTCGGAGATAAAATTTTACATGTGATTTGAATCATTGAATTCATTCTCATACTTTCACATAATTACAGGAAAGTTCTCTATTATCGGAGATCGGAGTCTAATGCGAGACAAGTAGGTTCTTAATGTCCAAATTCAATAACAAGTCTTTTTTCGCAACGATCACACGATCTAATAATAAATTTTCTACCAAGCAGATTTCACTCCAAAGGCAATAAATTCATGGAGTAACCAACAGATGATGCCTGTTAATTTAGTAAAAACTCCGCTATCTCATAAGAGGGGACTTTCCTCTGCTATTGTATTAATTTATTGTGACCCTCCAACCTTGTAATTTCAACTTGTCCCACTATTTAAAACAGGCAGACACTCTAGAGTTTCGTAACTCTCTATGTATTTTGTCCTATACTTGATTATCGACTTATTGTTAGTAACAAATTGTGGCCCTCGAATCTGTATATAATTTCAACTTTTCTCACTATTTTAAAACAGCAGATGTCACTCGTCCTGTACACCTTTGTTATTGACTTCGTAGTCAAATTTATAACAATACGTCGCCATTCTTATACTGTGAGTCGAGTTAATATCTCACTCGAAGTAGGATTTATTACCGCATTCGGGGCAGGTGAAAGTTGCGTTAGGGGTGCCCTCGGGTGCGTCGACGTGTCTGGCTCTCACCGGCGCGTGCATCCTCGAGTGCAGCCGTAAGCTTTTGTGGGAGCAGAACTCGGTGCCGCATGTAGCGCAGACGAACGTCTTCTGGTTCGGATCGACCTCGCCGTCGTGCACCTTCGCGTGGAGCTGCAGGGCTTTCGGGGTTGCGAAGCTCTGGTCGCAGTGCTCGCAACGATTGCTACCGCGCAGGCAGGCGTGCACGCGGAAGTTGCCCAGCTTGGAGAACTGCTGCAGGCACTGATTGCACTTGTACATTCGCATCGACGAGGCCAGGCGTTTCTCTCGCACCTGCGACATTGCATGCATTAGGGAGACGTTTGATTCTTACGCGCGCGCGGAATGTTTCGTCCGCTAAAGGCCTGCGTCCACGACGTTAGAACTTGGACCAAGTCCTAGCATGGTGGACACAGGCCTCAAGAAGCTCGCCTTAAAAGTCACACCTTGACACCCTCCACGTTCGAGAAGAACTTCTCGATCATCGGAGCCTTCGCCGATTGCGACGCCGTGACCTGAATCGGAGTGCGGTCCCAGAATCTCTCGATTTGCACCACTTTCTTGGTGTAGAGCCTACCCTCGCTGTCCACGCATTCCTCCGTGCGCAGCGTGTTCATCGTCGACCGCTGGCGCGCGCTCGCCACGTTCTCCGAGTTCTCGGACAACACCGACACTGGACTCGTCGTCGCCAGGTCGTTCAACTGTTCCGCCATCTCCAGCAAAACCTCCTGACCGTCGTGGAACTGCTTGATGTGCTCCAGGACGGAGTTGAAGCTCATCTCGCAACTGGTGCAACTGTACACAGCGTCAGACTCGAGCTGCAGCGACAGAGGTGAGAGAGAAATGGTAAAAAGGAATAACTTTGCGGTAACATTCGCCAAATACACAGAAGGAACAAATCGACTCATCTCTTTCGCGAGGTCGTATCTCGATTTTACACAATTTCCCGGTTTAAGCGCTCATTCTAAACCGAGCGTCTAAGCAGAAAAATAAAAAAACTGCGTAGAATCGAGCTTGCGAAAGAGATCGGTCGAAATACAATTCTCCCAGATGTAGCAGGATTTCCGCTGTACCTCGCACAGCTCGCGCTTGACGCGCAGAAGCCCAGCCTCGTCGATCTCCCCCTCGTTCACGCGCTCCACGTCGATCAGGGTGGCCTCACCGTCCTGGAGCTCGCCGCTCTCCGGCAACACGGCGATCACGTTCCTCTCCATCAGCGCCGTCTTGCGGTCCGCGCTCGCTATGGGGATCGCCACTAATCCCTGCGACGGCTGCGGTCTCTTCAGCGCCCCGCCACCGTCGCCGGCGAGTCCTTCGGACATCTTGAAATCCAGAGAATTTTCATCTGGTTGCGTTTCTTCCGTGTCCATCTTTTCTACGACTTTAATCTCTCCTGATGTTTTTCCGTTAGAAACCACAGAGTCAGACCCACGGGGAAATCTTGCGCAAGGGGAGAAAGGGGGGGAAAAAAAGACAGCGATTCTACAAACCATTCTCGTCCAGCTGTATCGCCTGCGAGTCGCCCATTATGACGATGCCGTTGCTGCCCATGGTCGCGAGGAAGCCCCGGTTGATCTGCTGCGCCTTGACATCCTGAAATGGACAGTCCACAATTAGACTCCCCGGCGGGAGAACCAGACAATTTGAAACCGTTCATATACGGGGCGTCAGATAATTTTGAAAGACCGGAAATTGGCAAAGGCGCATACGTTAATATGCAATGTTGTCTTTTTAGTGGTTAACCAAGCTGGCAACTTTTGCCGCAAGCAGACAAAACAATCCCCCAGCGGCAGAGTACGCTTCCACCTCTGGAAATTGTATCGAGCGTCAAATTTATTAGGCGATTAGTTTCAAACGTGGATAGCTGTAAATACAAGTCTACCACAAATGTCAACGATTAATCAATTTGAATTGTGCTCTGGGCCAGAAAAACGTCCAATAATAGCTCAGAGAGAGATGCAAAGTGATTTTGTTGCTCGAGTGCTCGACCGCGCGTTGCAAAAAACAGCCAAGATACATCATCAGCACTTCAAGGGGAAGTCCTGATCACACGCCGTGTATTCACCAAACTGTGCTCTTATCACTCATTTTGATCCATGCGGCACGGCCTCGCTGACTAGCACTTCCAATCATACCAAGGCCCGGTTTTTCAGTTTCTGGTTAACTGTTAACCAAAAGCAGGGTTGGGAAAGTTACTTTATAAAAGTAACCAGTTACAGTTACAGTTTTTTCGCTAACAATGTAACTAGTTACAGTTACAAGTTACCAATTCTGAAAAGTAACGCGTTACAGTTACTCGAAAAGTAAGGAATCGTTACTTTGCAGTTACTCCCTTGCGATAAAAATAAAAAATATCGAATCTGCATTTGAATTGTAAAGCGGCGATAAAGGCGTCTATGCGCAAACGCAAGGCCTAATGCGATCTGTGGAGGTTGAGAAAATATATAAATTAGTTACTAGTTATCGAAAAAAATGTAACTGAAGTAACCTGTTACTTCCCAACCCTGACCAAAAGTTAGTCTACTCACCATTTTTTTCCATGTTATTATCTAAGAAGAGACAAAGAATGGACTAACAATTAACCAGAAAATAAAAAGCCAAGTGGATTGCTTCGTAGAACGAACATTTCTTCAATTTCTTTCGTCTCCATTCACTTGTTGCCCAAAAAATTGGAAGAGCAATATTTCCAGGAACTCCCTTAACAATTGCATTCGTCAAGACTTCGAGCTCTTTTTGTCTCGAGCGATATTTGAAATAGCCTGGAATTAAGTGCGCGAGAAGCCTGCGATCGGACGCCCTGCAATGCAAGCCTCAACGAAGCTGTTGCCCCTTTCGCCTCACCATCAGCAGATCCATCTTAAGCTCAGTCTCCTTCCCGCCTTTCCTCAGCCTGTCCGTGAGCACCTCGGGCTTCATCTTGTACCTGAGATCGTGCTCGCACATGTCCAGGTGCTGAATGAGCGCCGCGACCGAGTCGGAGCGCTGCGAGCAACCGGGGCAATAGAGATTGTCCGTCAGGCTGAGCAAGTGGTACTTGAGGGACTGGGGATTATTGAAGGTCTCGCCGCAGCACATGGGGCAGGTGAGGTTGAGCGAGCCCATAACTGGAGCCGTCGGGCCGCCCCGGCACCGCCCGCGTTCTGCAATCCGGTCGACGCGGCGATTTAACCTAAGCGCGGGACGGTGGTGCGCCCGCGGGAACGTCTCTCATCTCGCCCGGCGAGTATCCGGCAAAATCCCGTACGTGTCCGGCCGGGCAGTCCTTCCGTTCCCCCGCGCAGCGGTCGACAACACCGCGCGGCCCCGGTCACCGCGACAACGGATCCATCGGCGGCGCACTTCAGCGCAAACAAATGCCGCGCACAACAATCGTGAAGTTGGGAATTTAATAAGTGAACCTCGAAGTCGGCCATTACAACGTCGGCCGCGCACGTCACTGCCGTAGAGGCTGGCGCTCGCCGCGCCCTCTGCACGGTGTGTTGACGATCGGTTTAAAAGGTCTGCTCCGAGCGGCTCTGCACTTGCCGCACGCGAAACGGCGCGGGTGTACGTTGGCGGTTGGACGTGTTGGAGAGAAAAGGGCAGGCGCGCGAAAGTTCAGCTGCGAGAAACAAAATAGACGCCAACACGGCGCGCCGGACGACGCTCGTTTTAAATGGACGTCCCTAGCAATCTCTCTCCTTCGGCCAGACGGAGAGATCATTCGACGTGTAATTCGGTGTCGTGGTTTTTATTTAAAGTTCTTTTTTTTAATACTTAGGCGCCTCTAACTAAAATAAAGTTATTCAAGTTGAGGAAAAAGTATGATAAATTTTTCGAAAACTATGAATTTTAAGAAACAAATGTTTGAGACAAAAGTTATATGGCGAGACGGAGAGATTATTCGACGTATAATTCGGTGTCGTAGTTTTTATTTAAAATCCTTTTTTTTAATACTTAGGCGCCTCTGACTAAAATAAAGTTATACAGGTTGAGGAAAGAGTATGAAAACCCCTAAATTTTTCGAAAACTATGAATTTTAAGAAACAAATGTTTGAGACAAAAGTTATACGGTTTCAAGGGAGACATAAGATGGTGTCATTAATTTGATCTTGAATAGTTGCTTGAAGGTCACGTGAAGGTCACCTTGAATTTTTTAAACGGAAACCTTCACTTCTTATTACATCATCTTTTTCTATTAATTAATTGGACCAACTTTTGTTGGAAACATTTTTTTATCTGTCTAATAATTTTCGAGATATTCGAAGAAAACTTGGTAACTTTTTCAATAATCATCATACGATATCTCGATATAACTGTTTATCGTGAGGAAAAATGATGCAGGACTTTTTGACTTGATTTGGTGTCAAGAACATGCTGTTGCAATAGCACTTCAATTTTTATAAACATTTACGTATATTGTACATAAAAACTCCAAGGTGTGTATCACAAATGTTTACTTTTTCCGCACCCTGTATAAAGTATGATAAAATTCAAAGACGTATAATCTAGCGAGGCAAATTAGGCGATAAGAGCAGTTTATGGAAACCAATCGACGAGTTTAAATATAAACCGATCCGCACGGTGACCAGGCAGTTTTATTATCATCAAATAAACTTACGCTTTAGCTTAAACGTCTGTAAAAACCAAAGAAGAAACGTACGAGACCTCGATGTCGGTTAACATTGATATTCTTCATCGCGAAAATTAAGCAGACGAATTGCACTTTATCCTCACTAATTTTGACTTCGAGAAAGTATCGCAATTCGCAATTGAAGTAACCTTGCAGTGATACCAAAAGTAATTTTAATTTCAGCAAACTCTCGGAATTCCCTCTGCTAGTATTTACATTTATATATTATTTTTATATATTTCCTCTCTCTATTTACAAGTTTACAAAATCTCGGTGGCTAAATAATTCGGCAATCAGTCCCCGCCCCCCGCGCCTAATCGACATGCTCGTGCTGCGCGTTACTCTCGAGCCAGGTGTTCTGAATGAGCTCGACGAATTGCTGCCACCATCTGCTGCGCGACGTGAAGTACAGCACGCAAGCGACTATGAAGATCCACGATAGCACCAGGCAATAGTCCATCTCGTTGGAGGGCGTGCTCGACACCGGCCCAGTGAAATCCGCCGACGTGACGTACAGCGAGCCGTTCGGCTGCAGGTTCGTCAGATGAGACATAAACTTGGCGAATGACTCCAGGGTGTAGATCGTGTCGTTGAACTTGGCGACAGGCTTGCCGTTGTGGACCAGCATCAGTGTCGGCACCCCGACTATTCCGTACTGAGCATTGAAGCTGAAAGTCGTGTATTTTCATAAGGTCTGTGTCCACGGTGCTAGAACTCGGACCAAGTTCTAGCATCGATGGCGATATCGTAGACGCAGGCCCTTACATACTTTGAATAGCAGGAAGGGGCGAAGAGAAATTCACAAGATTTCTTCCCACATCTCCTTTGCACTCTTACCTTTGATGTTTTATAGCATCAATGGCGACGGCTTTGATGTGGGGAAACGACCGAGGTATCGCGTTGAAATGCGGCGCAGCTTGGCTGCTGAATACGCACCACCTGGCGTAGAATAACACGAAAACGCACGTTCCCGGTAGCTGTTTGCCATCTTTATCATTTCTCGAGCGATTCGAGGGGCCAGGCTCCAAGGTCAATAGCTCCATGAGCCTTGTCGTATTGACAATCTGCAACAATGACAAATGTACAAGGAAGCTGTTATTTGGTTCGACGCAGCGTGCTACTGGTTTAGACATTCGTAGCACCTCAACAGGGCCGTGAATCTTCTCCGACGAGCAATTCACTTTAGTGGTATTAGTCGAGACAGTATCCGTGACATTTACTGCTGCATTGGCGTTCACTTTCGCAGGCTCATTCTTTTCGTCTGTATGAACCTGCTTACTTCCTTCCTCATCGAAGGCATCCACGGGTACTGTTTGCGTTGCGGGATCTTCCGTAGTCTCCTCGCTGCTTGTGATACTAACTAAAACTTGCAGATAACACTTCGTGTTAATCTCAAAAATGGTTCGAAGTAAAATGTAAAAAGTGTATGCAAACTTTTCAATTATTTCTTACCCAAAATTAAAATAGGTATAACAAAGCTTATTCTCAACCAGCTCATCTTTGGTATGTGGCATTAAATTACTCGTACTGCAAGCAAATTGGCAACCCTGCGAGGTCCACGGAACATGCAACAATACGTTTGGCTTCGTAGATCCGTCAGACAGCCTGGAACTTCAATATGTATTATACAAGGTGAAGAAAAAGTATGGACACCCTGAAAAATCTCAAAAAATATAAGTTTAAGACAAAAATGTTTCGGACAAAAGTTGTTCAAGATAATGGGGGTCATCTGTGTAACTAGCTTTAACCTTGAGACTAC